ACATACATATCAGCTAAGCCCCAAGGCACTATATAAAGGGGAAACCATCAATATTGTAGTGATTTTGCAAAGAATATGGTTACAAAAAGAAGTAAAGAATTTTTACTTTCTTTGCATTCCTACTTGGACTCCTTCCTGAGAAAAATTATAAATCAATTTGGAAAAAAAATACCCAAAAATCCATCACAGTCAATGTATCAGAAGCTCTTTACCTAGTGAGGGAAATGTAGCCTGAGAACAAATGTTTCGTTAAGGGGCGTTAAGAAGATGTTGTTATACTCCAAGTTAATTAAGTGTCCTACTTGAGGAAGATTTTGTTGGTTTTCTCACAGTGACACCTAAACTAAGTAAAAAATTAAGACTTCTCCTCATACCTCCATATACATTCACTCTCTCTCCTCACACTTCCACACACCTCTTTTTAAAAGAAAAAAGCTTTAGTTTTTTATGCCAGAAGCAGAGGGCATGAGAAAATGCCAGTAGAGTCTCATTCATATATAAAACTAGGTAGCAAAATATGAAGAATGATTGCTTAAGACTCAAACCCAAGCAAAATATTTGTATGAACCACACAGGGCTAGTCACTCAGAACTATTGGCTGCTATAAGAACTTAGCATGATTTATAAAGAAGCAAAATGAGGGCATTTCACTAAATAAAGTACAACTATTTACCCTAGACTTCATTTCAACTACCATTCCCCCCCGCCCCAGCTCATATCTTTTTTTTTTAATTCAGAGTCTCACTCTGTTGACCAGGCTGGAGAGCAGTGGCACACTCACGGCCACCGCAACCTCGACCTGCTGGGTTCAAGAGATCTTTCCATCTCAGCCTTCCAAGTAGCTGGAACTACAGGCATACACCACCATGCCCGGCTAATTTTTTTTTTTTAATGGTAGAGACGAGATCTTACCAAGTTGCCCAGGCTGGTATTGAAAACCTTGGCTCAAGCAATCCTCTCACTCAGCCTCCCAATGTGTTGGGATTACAGGTGTGAGCCACCACACCCAGCCCAGCTTCTATCTTAAACAAGCAATGTGATTTCACAATGCCAAACAAGATACCATCGTTGAAAGACCTCAGACACAGCTTCATGACAGCTCTGGAGGCTTGGCTTTCCAGTATGTGATTCTCAAGATTCTGCAGTGTTATACAGAAGCAGACCTCACAGCTAGCTTAAAGGGATTCATAAAGCCCAGGTATTCAGTAGTTGGTTCCCCCCCCCTTTTTTTTGTTGGTGGGAGGGATCAGGATCTTACTCTGTTGCCCAGGCTGAAGTGCATAATGAGCACTCACTGTAGCCTTGAACTCTTGGGCTCAAGCCATTCTCTCCCACCTTGCTTCCTGTGTAGCTGGGACTACAAGTATGCACCACCACACCCAGCTATTATTTTATTTTTTGTAGAGATGGGGTCTTACTATATTGCCCAGGCTGGTCTTGATTCTCCTTTAAAACAAACAAATCAACCCCTTCACATACAGGGGATATCTGACTAAAAAGAAAGATCCGTAGTCCTACAGGTATATTTTAACTATGAGTTGAATGCCATATGTATACCAACAAGACCAATGAGATATACAATATGCCAAGTAGTAAAGTGTCCAAAAGAAGTTAAAAAGAACTTAGCCATTATCCTTTCATTCTGCACCTCTGTTTCGTAAGAATGAATGTCATTGTGATAAAACCCCAGCTGGCAGATAAAACGTATTATTTCACTTATATTTGTCCTATGCTTTTGATGCTCTTTGAATATTTGTATTCAAAGAGCATCAAAAACTAAGAGAGCCTTCTTTTTTTTTTGAGTTGGAGTCTCACTCTGTTGCCCAGACTGGAGTGCAGTGGCCGCTCCCGGCCACCGCAGCCTCGACCTGCTGGGCTCCGGCGATCCTTCTTCCTCAGCCTTCCAAGTAGCCGGAATTACAGGCATGAGCTACCACGCCCAGCGAGAGCCTTCTTTAGGAATAAATTTTTAGAACAGAACTATATGAATTTTTAGAACAGAACTATATTTCGGATAATAAGTTACTAGAATTTTTTTAATAAAGATACAGAGTGTGTGATGCTTCTTTCACATATATACCAATATAAACAAAATTAGAGAAACAGAATAAGAGAAAGCATTTGAGGGAAGATAATCTTAGAAAAATGTAGATCAAATTAATTTTATTTCACAAAGAATTTAGAAAACACAAGCAAATATTCATACTGCATTAAAAAACAAAGATTTGTACATCATTCAAATTTAAAAATTTTTTTAAATCAGTGTGGTACTGAAAAACATTCAAACAAAGTGATATGTTACATTTTAGAACAAAATACTATCAATGGCTAATCACAACTAGATAGACAAACATAAAGAAAATACTGTTCGCGACCCGCCTGGGCAACTTGGCGAGACCTCATCTCTACAATAAATCAAAAAATTAGCTGGGCGTGGTAGCGCGCGCCTGTAATTCCGGCTACTCGGAAGGCTGAGGCAGAAGGATCGCCAGAGCCCAGCAGGTCGAGGCTGCGGTGGCCGGGAGCGGCCACTGCACTCCAGTCTGGGCGACAGAGTGAGACTCCAACTCAAAAAAAAGAAAAAGAAAATGTTAGGGATTGGCAGTAGTGGAACACTGCCCGGGTAGTGGGTGGAGATATAACATCAATAAGGGTACCTTACCTCAAACCAGGGAAAGAGGGGACCAAAGAGAGGCCCAAACTTTACCTGTATGATGTCCACTTGGATACCTAATCCTGAATTGTACCTCACATCTTTAAAATAAAATAAAATATTATATTATATTAAGATGATGCAAAACTCTGAATCTCAAAGTGATTCAGTTGGTAAAAGAGGGCACCTATTGTCACTGATATGGGACTGCCATATGTCCTATCAAAGGAAACAGCTACCACTAAGTGATAAAGATAAGCAAGTAAAAACACTGGGGGAAAGAAAGGTCACGAGGTCTAGAATTTTAGAATAAATGGTTTATTAATTTTTGTTGTTACAGGTGTTTTGTTTTCTTCCTTCACAAAACTGAGTGGATGCGTAAGGGATCCAAGAATATTCCCAGTTATATCTTAATTTTTCAGTAAGGATAACTTTTATATTGAATAAATAATGACAGATATTCCCTATCACTTCAGCGACTGAATGTAGTATTAAAATGGTCTGTTCAACAACTATAATATGCTTTGATTAAAAAATAAACACAAGTCAAAAATACTTAAAGAACTTTTATGTCTCTAAATTTAAAAAATATACAGTCATCCTCTGGTATCCAAGGGGGACTGGTTCCAGAAAATCCCTAAACCTCTCCACAGCCCCTCCTTCCCAACCTCCATGTGAATACCAAAATCCACAGATGCTCAGGTCCCTTATACATGGCTTACTGTTTGTATATAACGTACACACATTCTCCTTTATATTTTATTTTATTTTTTTTCAGTTGGGGTCTCACTCTGTTGCCCAGGCTGGAGTACAGAGGCACGCTCACAGCCACCGCAGCCTCAACCTGCTGGGCTCAGGCAATCCTTCTGCCTCAGTCTTCCAAGTAGCTGGAACAATAGGAGTGCACCACCACACCCAGTTAATTTTTTTTTTTTGAGTTGGAGTCTCACTCTGTCACCCAGACCAGAGTGTAGTGGCCGTCCCAGTCACCACAGCCTCGACCTGCTGAGCTCTGGCAATCCTTCTGCCTCAGCCTTCTAAGTAGCTGGGCTACCATGCCCAGCTAATTTTTTGATTTATTGTAGAGATGAGGTCTCGCCAAGTTGCCCAGGCGGGTCTTGAACCTGCAGGCTCAGGCAATCCACTCACCTCAGCCTCCCAAAGCACGGAATTATAGGCTGAGCCACCAAGCCCAGCTTAACTTTTAAATTTATTGTAGAGACAAGGTCTTGCCAAGTTGTCCAGGCTGGTCTTGAATCCATGGGCTCAGGTAATCCTCTCACCTCTGCCTCCCAATGTGCTGGGATTATAGGCATGAGTATCTGGCTCTCCTTTATATTTTAAATCATCTCTAGATTACTTACAATACCTAATACAATGTAAATGCTATGCAAATAGTTGTATTTTTTAAACTTTATATTCTTATAGTCATTATTTGCTTTTCTAAAATCTTTTATTTTTTTCTTCTTTTTGAGTCAGAGTCTCACTCTGTCTCTTAGGCTGAAGCACAGTGGCATGGTCACAGTTCTCCGCAGCCACCACCTTCTGTGCTCAGATGATCCTTCTACCTCAGCCTCCTGAGTAGAGGGGAAATATAGGTGCATACCCCACACCCACACCAGGCTAGTTTTTTCATTTTCTGTAGAGACGAGGTCTCGCTATGTTGCCTAGGCTGGTCTCAAAATTCTGGCCTCAAGCAATCCTTTCATCTCCACTTCCCAAAGTGCTGGGATTATAGGCATGAGTCATTGTGCCTAGTCTTTTCCCAACTCTTTCTGATCTGTGGTTGGTTGAATCAGCAGATATGCAAACCGTGGATACAGAGGGCTGACTGTATCAATTTAATTCTTGAAAAAATTTTTTTCAAAAAGTGACAATAATATGAAGTTCTCATACACCAGCATTCTTAAAAAGAATATTAGGTAATTCAGTTATAACAACTTACATTAGAATATTCAGGAACTGTATCTTTGGGGTTTAAAAATACAATTTATGATTTCTTGTTAACTAAATTTCACTAAGAGGTGCTGAAGTCTAAGTCTAAACTTGGATGCCATTATACTTTAAAATTTTTAAGAAAGAAAATTCACAATCTACCCAATAATCTCCAAGAATAAGCAGATTAAAAGTAGAATGGTATCTGTACATATTACATGTACATTTTCAATGGGAAAAGGAACCATATTTACTATTGATGGGCTACACTCACTGTCTCTTAAGGAAGACTAAAAAAGAATTAGCAGCTAGATTTAGAGTCAGAAGTTACTAGGAGAACCAAAAAGTAGTAAATACTAAAACTATTTGTAGAGTTTTACACTCAGTGCAAAGAAATGCCAAAAAACCCTTATGTAATTAAATTTTTAATTTTACCAAAAACAAAAGTAGTCCAATTACTTTTGGCCCATTTACAATGATAAAAAAAAATTGAAAACAAAAACTCTGAATCTATTTTGTAAAACCTCTATTATGACATTCTTAAACTCAATTCATATTGTTCCACTGAGTCAGGTAACATGTAAGCTTGGGGGTTGGAGGAGACATAAAATATTATAGAGAATATTACCTTTTCTCAGGAAATGATCACATGAAATTAACGTGAATAGCCCCTTACTGATCTGTGTACTTTATTACCTTCAATAGAAAGCCTGAATATTTCCATTTTTCAAACCTCTAGAATATTATCCATTCAAAATATTGATATTTAAGTTTTACATGAAAGGAATCACACTATGAAAACAGGCCTGCTTTAAATATAGTTTGATTAATTGTGGGAGTACTTACTGACAGAAGATTTCTTTAGCAAATACTGCTTTCTTGTATTTAAAAAAATCAGTGAGATAGAATTTTAAAAATCTTAATTTACAATACATTGTAAAATGAAGACAACAAATGCCACATGTATCACAGATCAGCACAAGTAAAAAATTTTTTCCAGATGTTCATAAGACTTTGTATCTTCCTTTATTTGTTGGTTGGTATGAATTTTGCTGCAATAGAAAATAAACAACACACAATCAGAAAAAAGCACAAAAAAGAGGAAATATTTCAGACAGTTTCCTTTACCAACTTACAAAATATATTTAAAATTTTAACACATTATTATTGCATTGAAGAAGAAACTGTTCAGTAACCAATCATTTCTTCTTGTTCACTCAACTATTCCTCGACAACTGTGTTTTGAATCACCTTAATGGTGGCAGCATCTAGGAGGCACAAGATTCTTTTCCTGTCACTCCTTGGTGACATAATCTTAAACACTTGATTTAAAGGTTGTTTTCTTCTGTCTTGTTTTATCTACCCTCTTTTCATTAAACTTATTATCCCAAAAGAATGATCTATAAGGAGAATTTTAGAAAAGCCCTCAAAATTCTACTCTTAGAGAAAGAATAAGGTTTCCTTTAAGAGTCCTCATCCTAAAAAAAAAAAAAAAGATTGATCATCCTTGCATGATCAATGTTTATATACCTAACCCTGAAATGTACCCCACATCTTTATAATAAAAATTAAAAAAAAAAAAAGAGTCCTTATCCCAACACATATATTGCAAAGCTTCAACTGGCATAAAAGAAGACACAGGCCGTGTCTGCACTCTTTGGAAAGGCAGTCTGTAAAGGGTACTTTTTCCAAAATCAAATTAAGTCATTGACTAAGCTTAAAAACACGGAAAAAAGTATGTGTTTGCAAAATACATATAAAATACACACACACACACAAGTTCAAAAACAGGCAAAACTAATCCATAATTTTAAAAACCACAATATGATTACAGATGGGGGAGATAAACAGTGACAAGGAGAGGCATGGGGAAGGCTTCTAAGATGTTATTAATTATCTTTATTTCTTGATCTGGGCAGAAATTACTTTGTGAAAATTCATGGAGCTATGTGTTTATATTTTGGGTACTTGTCTGTATGAATATTAAAGTTCAATAAAACACTTATTAAAACAAATAAATTCTTGAGTTTTCACTCACCAGCCGGATTAGTTCTTCTTTTATAAGCCTGGTGATTTCTGCCTTTGCTTTCTGCACAGCCAGTTCATTGGCACCTGGTGATTGGGTGGAAAGCACATTATTCGTATTACTAAAATTGCACTGTATGTTCACCTGTGTCATGATGTCCAGGAGGAAATACTGTAGGTACTTGCACTGTCTGCCAAGATACAGTCTTTCAACGCCTGGTGGAACATCTGCCACACTATATAATATCTACTTATAATTTTAATTACTTTTAGAGTTTCTTTTTTTTTTTTGAGTTGGAGTCTCCCTCTGTCGCCCAGACTGGAGTGCAGTGGCCGCTCCCGGCCACTGCAGCCTCGACCTGCTGGGCTCCAGCGATCCTTCTGCCTCAGCCTTCCAAGTAGCTGGAATTACAGGCATGTGCTACCACGCCCGGCTGATTTTTTGATTTATTGTAGAGATGAGGTCTCGATGCCCAGGCGGGTCTCGAACCCGCGGGCTCAGGCAATCCACTCACCTCAGCCTCCCAAAGGCGCGGGATTACAGGCTGAGCCACCGAGCCCGGCTACTTTTAGAGTTTCATATGCAACCACTGAAGTCACATTACAAGTATTAAAAAGAGTAAAGAAAAGATGAACATGGAGCGCAGTAGCTCACACCTGTAATCCCAACACTTCTGCAGGCAGAAGTGAGAGGATTGCCTGAGCCCAAAGTTTTGAGACCAGTCTGGGCAACTTGGTGAGACCTCGTCTCTACAACAAATAAAAAAATTAGCTTAACATGGTGGCATGCACCTGTAGTTCCAGTTACTTGGAAGGCTGAAGTAGAAGCATCGCCTGAGCCCAGCAGGTAGCTGGGGTGCCCATCAGTGTGCCACTGCCTCTAGCCTGGACGACAGAGTGAGACTTCAACTCAAAAAAAAAGGAACACAGGAAGACAGCTGACTGGATGAGGTGAGCTGGAGGCATTCAGTTATTTTTTCAAGAAATATGAACCACTCACCCTCTATGATATACTGTAAGAGAGTCATCATGCAAAGAACTCATTCACACTCTTTACAATCTTGTAGGCTACTAGAAAAACAAACTTATAAAGATATTACAATAGGAAGCAGTTTACTAAAATAATTTTTTGTTTGAGTTGGAGTCTCACTCTTTAAACCAGGCTACAGTGCAGTGACATGCTCACCGCCACCACAGTCTCAACTTTCTGGGCTTGCAAGCCACTATGCCCAGCCTAAAACAACTTTTAAATTCACTTATAAGAATTTAAAAGCTTTTCCTGACTTTTTTTTTTGAGTCAGTCTCACTCTGTCACCCAGGCTGGAGTGCAGTGGCATGCTAACGGCCACTACAGCCTTGATCTGTTGGACTCAGGCAATCCTTCTGCCTCAGTCTTCCAAGTAACTGGAACCACAGGCGTGCGCCACAATGCATGGCTAATTTTTCTTGATTTATTGTAGCGATGAGGTCTCACCAAGTTGCCTGGACTGGTCTCAAACCCACGGACTCAGGCAATCCACTCACCTCAGACTCCCAAAGTGCTAGGATTACAGGCTGAGCCACCGAGCCTAGCTGATTTTTTTTAAACAGGAAGTAAATAGTGACAAGAGGAACAAACAGAGATGCTAACAGTTGACTAGCAAGTGAAGAAATTTAGTAGTAAAGAATATACTGAATCCAGGAAGAAAAATAGATGATTTAGGCACTGATGGTGGGTGAAATTTAATTCTGAAATTGCTGTAGTTGAGGTGCTCTTTGGACATCGAGTTGGAAACATAAATAAGGTCAATGGAAATATGGACCAGAACTTTAGGGGTGGTAGAGATTAGAGAACCATCACGATTAGTTAGGATAGAATGTGAAGCCAGGGCACAATGCCAGAAAGGGGCTAAATAGAGATGGGCAGCACAGTGCACAATGGCAAGAGTTTTAAGGGCAGGGCCAAAGAAGACGACGAAAGACCAAACCATCTAACAAAAAAAGGAGAAGGCATTGCAAGGTAGAGTGCCACATTTTTTTTTTTTTGAGTTGGGGTCTCACTCTGTCACCCACACTAGAGTGCAGTGGCCGCTCCCGACCACTGCAGCCTCGACCTGCTGGGCTCCAGCGATCCTTCCGCCTCAGCCTTTCAGGTAGCTGGAACTACAGGCACGCGCTACCACATCTGGCTAATTTTTTGATTTATTGTAGAGATGAGGTCTCACCAAGTTGTCCAGCCCAGTCTTGACCCGGTCTCAGGCAGTCCACTCACCTCAGCCTCCCAAGGTGCGGGATTACAGGCTGAGCCACCGAGCCCAGCTTCAGCCACATTTTGTAGTTTCAGTGTACAAGTTTTACACACCTTACATCAAATTTCACAATTTTTAATGCTGTTGTAACTGATATTTTAAAACATTTATTTTTCATTTGTATATTCCTAATATACAGAAATATTATTGGTTTTTGTTAATGGATGTTTTATCTTGTGACCCTGCAAGTTCTGAGTTTTTTGTGTAGATTATTTAGAATTTCTTACATAGAAAACTCCTATTTGTGAATATGGACAGTTTTCTTTGTTTCCAATCTGTGCACTATTTATTATTTATTTATTTATGCATTACTCCACTGGTCAAGACTTTCAGTATGATATTGAATGAATAGGCATGGTAAGAGTAGATATCTTTCTCTTCTTCTCTAGCTCAGAGGGAACACATACAGTCTTTCTCCATTGTGTATGATCTATTATGTATAGGTTTTGTTTTATAATAGCCCCTTGGAGAAATTCCCTTTTATTTGTAATTTTCTGAGGAATTTTAACCATGAATGCGTGTCATATTTTCTCAAAAGCTTTTTCTACATCAACAATTGTAAGTATGTGGTTTTTCTGTTTTTGACCGATAAGATGAAGAAGTACATTGATTGAGTTTCCAATATTGAACCCCTTGTTTGGAGTGTTTTTTACATCTATTACTTGATTGAATTACTAACATTTTATTAAAGATTTTTGTTTATATGCTCATGGTGGTTATTGTCTATGGACTTTTTTCTATTTTGTTTGGTATTAGTATAACAGTAACTATGGCTTCATAACATGATTTGGGAAATATTTTCTCTTCTATTTTTGCCTAAAATATATTAGGTAAAATTGGTGCTATTTCTTTTTTAAGTATTTGGCAGAATTCATTTAAGAAATGACCTAGAACTGTATATTTCTTTTTTATCATCTTTTATACCATGTATTTAATTTCATTAAGAATGTAGAACTAGTCTAGTTGTCTATTTTACCTATATTGAGTTTTGGTAGTTTGTATTTTTGAGGAATTTCTTTATTCCATGAAACATATATAATTTGATTAGTGTTGTTTATAGTATTAGTTTATTATCATTGCAATATCTATGGAGTCTATAATGATATTCCTTTTTCCATTCTTGATATTTGCAAATTGTATGTTGTATGTTTCTGAATTTCTTTGTCAGTCTTGCTAGAAGCTTATACATTCTATTGATCTTTTTTCAAAGACCTAGCTTTTGATTTCATTTTTTGATATTGCTTTTTTCTGGTTTCAGTTTTATTGATTTTGTCCATTACTATTTTCATGTATCTACTTGATTTGAGATTATTTAACTTTCTTTCACTGTTTTACTAGGGTTGAAGTTTACATCTTTGATTTCAGAGTTTTAATTTTCTAATAGAAGCATTACAGCACTTCATTAGCTGCATGTCACATATTTCAATATGATATATTTTGATTTTGATTAAATTTAAAGAATTTTTAAAATTTCCCTGTGACTTCCTCTATGAAGAGTGAATTATGAAACTAAGGAGGACAAGAATAATGTGTTGTCATTACACAGATATGTACCATTTCTGTTGTCCTTTCTTCATTCCTGATATTACAAGTTTCCTCAGTTAATATTTTTTCTTTTCTATAAAAACTTTTTAAAATGATTCTTGCAGTGCAATTCTGTTGGCTACACTTCTCTTCTGTTTCCCTTATCTGGGAATATCATTATCTCACACCGTTTCAAAAAGACACTTTGTACTGGAAATAGAATTGCGAATTTTGTTTTCTTGTGGCACTTTACAAATGCTGTTTTGCTTCTTTTAGGTTTCCATGGTTACTTCTTTTCCTTTTTTTTTTTTGAGTTGGAGTCACACTCTGCCGCCCAGGCTGGAGTATAGTGGCATGACATAGTCACCCCAGCGTTGACTTGCTGGGCTCTGGTGATCCTTTCACCTAAGTCTTCCAAGTAACCAGAACTACAGGAACGAGCTACCCATACTCAGCTAATTTTTATTTATTGTAGAGACAAGATCTCTCCAAGTTGCCCGGGCTGATCTTGAACCCCCGGGGTTCCAAAGTGCTGGGATTACAGGCAGTTATTCAAATCAGTGGTCTCTGTAGTTAATATGTTGTTCTTTTTTGGTTGCTTTTGATATTTTTCCTCTAGCTTTTATGGTTTCATTGTCCAGTTGAAGTTTTTTTTGTTGATCTTGTTTAGAGTTCTCTCAGTTTCTTGAATTTGTAGATTTATGTGTCCTTTTTTAATTTTAAAGATGTGGGGTACAAATCAGGATTAGGTAAACAAACGTTAATTATGCAGGTACCCTTGTTGATGAGGTTTGCCCCTCCCTCCCATAGCAGTTTTCCTCCACTGCCAATAACACCACCCCTTCCCTGAAAGTTTCCCACTACTGCCAATCGCTTTCTTATAGTACTATAATTGTTCAAGATCTGCTTATGAGTGAGAACATATGGTACTCTGTTCTTTGTTTCTGTGAGAGATCACTGAGTATGATCGACTCTAAAATCCATCCACGTTGCTGCAAAGTCCATATGTTTGTCCTTCTTTGTGGCTGCATAATATTCCATTGTGTATATGCACCACATTTTTTTTTATCCAGTCCAGCTTCGCTGGGCAACATGGTTGGTTCCATGTTTTTGCTATTGTGAATACAGCTGCAACAAACATATGTGTGCAGGTATCTTTTTTGTAGAATAATTTGAGTTCCTCTGAGTATATTCCCAATCGGGGAATTGCTGGGTCATAAGGAAGGTCAATTTCTAGTTTTTCCAGAAACCACCACACTATCTTCCAAAGAGGTTGC